TTCAGGCTGGTTGTGAGGCCCTGACTGACCAGGTAAGAGAACGGTGCTAGCCAGATTCATCCTCCACTTGAGGCCTCCAACCAGCTACTAGGAGGAGTAAGTCACTTAACTGGAGGAGATAGCCCCAGGGCTGACTTAGCCCAACCCTCTGCCGCTGGCCTGGCCTCCCTGCGAGGTGCTGAGGAGCTGCAGGGGGATCCCCGGGAAGCAGGTCAACTGCTTGCTGGCTGTTTTATTAAGCAGAGGTCGGCCGAGTATGGACCACCGGCCACAGCTGCTTTGTGTCGGACTAAGGATCATCTTTACATTTTAAATAGCTGAAAAAGGATCAAAGGAAGGTTAACATTTTGTGACGTGAAAATTATATGAAATTCAAATCTCAGAGTTATTAAAGTTGTATTGGGGTCGGCCTGGTAGTGCTCCATGCATCGGGAGCTGCATCCCACATGGCTAACTGCAGTTTGAATCTCAGCCTTGGTGGCTTGAAAAACACACCAAGTGTGTATGGACGTGTGCCCAAAGTCTGAAGAGGATGGCGAAGTGGAGGAGAAGGCACGCCCCACTGGGGGATGCTTTTTCCCTCTCCTCTCGGTCTCCTCGCCTCAGTCTGGTGAGCATACATGTCCTCTGGCAAAACTAAAACAAATAGGAAAGAGATGGGGTAAGCACAGTAACACAAGCATCCTTGTTAAGTCCTAGAGATAAGATGACAGCGGAAAACATGGAGACGGGAAGAAAACACCTGGAAAGGGTTTTATTCAACTCATTCAACCAAAAAGCACAAGAATGCTTCTGGTTGGCGCTTCTGCTTTTTCGGCAGTGAAATGAGAGAGAGCTATTTCGTGGAGCTAGAACCTCTTCAGAGCTAGTTCGAGCTCTGGGGAGAAGAGACATTTGGAGCATGGCATCCTGCCTTGGTTGCTCCCCACTCTGTCTCCCACCTCAGCACGATGGAACTTCCAACATTCACAACACACTCAGGCGAGTGGACAAGACCGTGCACAGGTGTTCCTGGGACCCCGAGGCAGCCCAGGAGGCCTGGAGCGGAGGCTTGCCCTCTTGGACATGGGCTAAGAGTTGTCTGGGTGCTGGCTGCAACCCCCAGGGAGCAAGCTGCTCTGCGTTGCGGAGGTTATTAGGGCCTCTGAACCATCGGGCCCTGGTGTGCAAACTCCCGTCACGCTCCACCCTCCTTCGTCTGAAGGTCATCGTGGTAAACTGACGGCTTGGGGAGCGCTGCCCCGGCTCGGCAGGTGTCCACCAACGCAGCAGAACGTGACATGCGTGGTGTGCCCCCTCACGGACCACTCTCTAGCTGAGGCAGGCATAAAAGGACACGTTTTCTTTTTAGGACTGCCACCAAGAACGCGGACAGAGTGAACTGAGGCGAACAAAGCATCAGAGAACGACTCTGCACAGCAGGCTAGTCAGAAGGCACCAAGGAAAAATGGATTTTTGTGAGGGCAAACGCAGGCAGTGCGGACAGAACCAACGCGGCGGCCTCTGAATGGGGCCATTTGGCTGATTTATAAATGACGTTGCCAATGGCCTTTGCTAAGACCGACGTGCTCCTCCTTCAAGCTGGAGCCACACACTGGTTTTCTAGGGAACCAAGGATCAACTCCAAGGACGCAGATCTATTATTTTCAAACCTTAATTAACTGGAACCTAATTAGAATTTTGAGAGTTTTTTTCCCTTCCACTTTAAAGAAGAACTTTTTTCTCTTAAGTCAGCATGGTGTAAATGGGGAAAACGTGAACAAAGAGCTATTGGATTCCGTGCACTCAAGCAACTCCTGTAAACTTTGGGGGCTTCAGCTTTCTAATGTGCAAATCGAGGGAGCCCACGAGATACACACATCTAAAGTCTTCACAGCACTGTGTTCTGTGACACAGATTCTAGGACACGCCACAGCTCACGACCCACCAGTCCTCTGGGTCATCCCTGAGTGTGACTACCACACCCCCCTGAAGCGAGTGGAGAGCCCCGAACAGCCCTGCAGCTGGTCGAGTCTGTCCTCCACCTAATGCAGCCAGGCCTCACCACAACTGCTAGGGTAAGGTCTCTCAAAGGCTGTAACAGAAACCTCGGACGAGCCTGAGCAGCTGGTCAGACAGGGAAGAGAGCACACGTGACCAACCACTTTGTTTCACGTTATGTAAACAGATATCCATTCACTACTGTTTAAATACGAAGGCTTTATAAAAGAGCTTGCTACCTGGATTTCTGTGCAGTCTTCCGAGTAAACCAGACTCACAACTGGCGGTCTATAAGGTGTGGTTTGGGTTTCTGAGAGTTCGGACGTTTACGGAGCAATATGGACGCGGTGCTTCCTGAGTTTTACCATGTGCTCCTGCTCTTTTGGCTGTTTTGCCCAAGCACAGAATTTGTTTTATCTTTCTTTTTTTTTGAATTGCCAGAGGGAACATGTGCTTGCCAGAAAGAGACAGAGAGACAGAGACAGAGAAAGAGAAAGAGAGGGAGAAGCACCCTCGAATGGGTATGGACACACCACAATCTCTTCCCCCCCTCTCCATGCTGTTGGGGTTTGGAGCATGCACACACATGTGCTCAGTGTGGTTTTCAAGTCACTGGGGCTGGAACTGAACCGCAGTCAGTCATGAGTGCCCTGGCTCCCTTAACCACGAAGCCACAGGGCTGGCCCAAGAATTTGTTTTAAATTCATGATAAAACACATGCATGAGAGAGAGAGACCGCAGGGCTCACTGCCACCCTCCTCCCCTAATGCTCCAGCCTGCAGGGATCCTGGGCGTGTGCACACACACCTGGTATGTTCTCAAGGCCAACCAGGCCAGGGACTTGAATCACTGTCAGTGTGTTGCTTCCAGCTCTACAGTTGGTAGGCTGCCGACTACCCCCTGTCCCACAGAGGCTGAGTCAGCCACAGAATTTTTGAAGACTCATCCTTAGCCGAGTCTTTCTAAAACATTCAACTTAGTTTTTATAAAAATAATAACTGTCTTTTTATGCTTGTATGTAACCAGTTTACTGAACATGTGGGTGAACTGTGTAATTACAGCAGCACATACACTTGGCGTGACCAGGCGTGGGAGTACACACACGATGCCCTGGTGCTGACATGTGTGGGCTCTGATCACTGCGCCTCGCCAGAGGAGGACGAGCACTGGCTGAGACGGCCACGCAGAGTCTCCGATGGTAACTGAGGAGTGGGGTCAGGGCTACTGGGTCATGCGAGTGCAGTCAGTAGGAAAGCTCACCAGAGGAGAGCAATTCCTTCAGGGAGGGCATGTGGACAGACAAGGAAGGGGAGGGACCCCAGGGAATGTCAGCCCTGAAGCGCTGAGCAAAGGGGGCCGACAGGACACTGCTGGAGATGGACAAGGAGCAAGAGTTGGGAGGTGAGCTTAAGAGGACCCAGTGCAGGACGGAAGTCTAGGGAACAAGAACTGTAAGACTTCCTGCACTTGACAAGCAGGTGGCCACTGGGAGTGGAACCTACAGGGCATTCACACCCCCATGAGAGACCTCCTGTGAGGAAGGAAGGAGACACGCTGTGATCACCCATGCCTTTAGGTCCTCTTCCTCCAGCTCTGCGGTCTTCTTCAGCGCCTCCTCTGCCTTCTGTCTCCTC